TTTTTTTTTTTTTTTTTTTTTTTTTTTAATTTTCATGGGTTTATCCTTGCACTATTGACTTGATGATGTGTTAACCAAGTTCATTACCTCGAAGAATCGAATTCCTTGTCTGTTTCAAGTGGGAAATCTGATTCCCGAAGTTCCATTTACTTTTATGGTTTTGTAGTGCTGTTTCAATTCTTGATGGATGTACTGGATCTAGGATAGATCTGTATCTTTCCAAGTTTCTAGCGTATGATACAACCCCAATTCATTTTTAAGATCCAAACTGGTAATGCGCGATATTGTCTCAACACCTACTTAGGTGATTTTATTAGATGAGTAGGCATTCTTGATCTGAGTTCTTATATTGTTGCTCCTGAACAAAACGGAATTGCCGAAAGGCAAATTAGACTTGCGCTAGAGGTGGGTTGAAGTTTGATTATTACTCCAATGTTTAAAACATTTTTTTTTTGGGGTAAAGTAGTTCTTGATCTAGCTTACCCAATCAATGGGATGCTCTTACACACATTAAACTTCCAAACACCTCTTCGATCCTTTCTTAAATTTACCTCGACAATATACTAGTTTTTAATTTACCACCTAAGATATGTGGTTGCACATCTGTCTTTTCAAACTAGAAGCAATTTGGATTCTTAAATCTTTAAAATGCAAAGAGCTACAAGTGCAATAATGAGGAAATGTTATATAGTCATGGATGTGACGTTCTCTGGAGACAATCTTTGTCAAGGACACTGATGCTCGAGGGGAGAATAACAACGACCAGTTTACGTTCTCTGGAGACAATCTTTGTCAAGGACACTGATGCTCGAGGGGAGAATAACAACGACCAGTTTTGGAACCTTCTTAAATTGTTGATCAATAGATTGTTCATAAGTAGACGAAGAAATCACTTGATTTTATCATCACCAGTACCCAACCTCAACCCGGCCATTTCAACCGAAGAACAACACTATAAAAAGAATTTTATCATCACCAGTACCCAACCTCAACCCGGCCATTTCAACCGAAGAACAACACTATAAAAAGAAATGAAGGTGTATATGGTAGCATACTTATACCCAGAGGAAGAGAGAATCTCAATCCAATAGTGGACCTCCAAATTCTCTTAGCTGTATTTCTACCTCAAATGATGACAATGAAGCTACCAGGCTTGATAACATTTGAATTCTGAAAAATATTCATGAAGCTCTTCTTGACCTAACTCTGATTGGAAAGCAGTAGTTAAAGAAGAAAGCAACTAGAAATAATAAATGGGACTTGGTAATATATGTGTCTTCCTACCAGAAAGGTTGTAGGATGTAAATAGATTTTCAATATTCCATATAGACTAAATGGAAGCATTGGTAGATTTAAAGTAGGACTTGTTGCGAAATGATTTACATATTCCATATAGACTAAATGGAAGCATTGGTAGATTTAAAGTAGGACTTGTTGCGAAATGATTTACCTTTTTCTTTTAAGTTTGTCAATTGCGAGAGGAGGACCGAACTATCGACTTTTGGGATGGTAATGGATGGGTATGGGATAAGGAATTTACTTAATCTAATTATATTTGCTAGATTACCAAGAATATTTAATGGATGGGTATGGGATAAGGAATTTACTTAATCTAATTATATTTGCTAGATTACCAAGAATATTTGCCCTAGTAGTTAATTGAACTACCATTTATGTATTGCTATCTATTCGTATGAACCAAGAGTTGAATCTCCATCAACTTGATGCAAAAAGGACCAACCTCAAAGAACAAATTTACATGGAAATACCAATAGGTCTTGAGATAGAGGAAAGCAAACCTAAAGTCTCTGGAGGATTATATTCTACATTGATTTAATTTGGAAATTGTTATTACAAACTAGATTTCTCAATCTTCTTGCATCTTTTGATGAACGAAACACGCATATGATGTGAAATTACCCATTTTGTGCTTCATTAATTAAATCAAGAAATAAAAGGATAAAAGTCAGCCAAGATTATTGCGTTTTCTTAGTCAGCTAAGCACATAAGACTCAACGTCAAGAAGTTATTAAACATAAAAATGCTGAGATATCTATATGTAGCAAACTAACAGTCTCATTACTTAAATAATGAGGAGTTTCATGGTTGAGACTTGCAGAGAAGAGAGGAAGGATGTCAAGTAGAAACACCCATTGGTGTTACAGATGTGAGCAGCCAGTTCAACTCCGTGGGCGGGACATGGTTTGCGCTAGCTGTAATGGAGGATTTGTTCAAGAACTCGATGAAATGATGGAAAGAGGTCCCCTTGATTTCTTTGGAGCCTAATGGAGGATTTGTTCAAGAACTCGATGAAATGATGGAAAGAGGTCCCCTTGATTTCTTTGGAGCCCATGGTCATGAATACCACAATCGGAGGCTTGGACTCCTGGACCTTTTCTCAAACTTTATGAGGCAACGGTTGATAGACAGAAATGACATGAGGGGAAGGTTGGAATCTATTCCAGATCATGGTTCAGGGGCAACGGTTGATAGACAGAAATGACATGAGGGGAAGGTTGGAATCTATTCCAGATCATGGTTCAGGATTTGGTCCTTGGTTGATCTTTGGTGGCCAAATTCCTGTTAGGTTGTCTGGACATGGTGGGTTTGAAGCCTTTTTTAATGGGGTTCCTGGAATTGGTGTGAGTAGGAACAATGGTGGTGATTATTTTATTGGTCCTGGACTTGAAGAATTGTTTGAACAGCTTTCAGCAAACGACCGACGCGGACCACCCCCAGCATCTAGATCTTCAATCGATGCAATGCCTGTTGTTAAAATTACGCAAAGACACATCCGTTCCCCCAGCATCTAGATCTTCAATCGATGCAATGCCTGTTGTTAAAATTACGCAAAGACACATCCGTTCAAATTCACACTGCCCTGTTTGCCAAGATAAATTTGAATTAGGGTCTGAAGCTAGGAAAATGCCATGTGACCATATGTATCATTCGGATTGTATAGTTCCCTGGCTTGTCCAGCACAACTCCTGCCCTGTTTGCCGCCAAGAGCTGCCTGCACAAGGGTCAGGTGGTAGTCACAGCTCGTCTGGAAGCAACAATCTTAGTCGAAACAGCCGAGAGAGGGAGAATAGTAGGACAAATCAAGGAAGGAGGAACCCATTTTCAAGTTTATGGCCATTCCGAGCATCGAGTTCTGACTCAAACCATAGTGCGACCACTGGAAGCAGCTCACCAGCCCTACATGAGAGCACCCAACACCAAACAGGGTATTCTGGATGGCCTTTCGACTAGTGTGAACGGTGGTGTTTTCATGAACTTGTTTGCACCAGTTTGTGATATTGTTGTTTAAAATGAAGAAAGATAGTTCAACCCCCTGCTGTCCACTCCTTTGTATAATGATTAATAATGGACTTTGTGTGTGATGTAGATTACATTTTTCTCTGCCTTATCGATGCTGCTGCAGTTTGTATATGGTTCATATGTATTAGCCATGCTGTTTCGGTTTAGAGTTGCAGTCAATCTGGAATCTGTCTGAGCATTGCCGCATCTTCTTGAATTGGAAATTGAAACCTGCAAAACTGGCTAGTCTAAATCTCTACCCAAACTGCCGCATGTTTTCCGTTGTACTGTTCTTTGCCAAAGCTGTGTCCATGGTCTGCACTTTCTGAACATGTTTTTGTAGAAAAACATGCAAAACTTCGTTTTGGAGAAGTTAATGCTATCCTGATAGAGAGCGAGAGAAATAAGGTAACGGATTGAATTTGTTATATTACAAGAGACCTGAACTTAAATAAACTATTAAAATTTAAATCAACAATTTAATTACAATGCAGAGGGATTACAGATTTTAACTAAACATTAAGAATTCTATATTGCGATTGAAACACAGACCATTGTGTAGGCATTAAATCCATATGATTATAGAAAACAAAATCCGATAACAATTACACAAACCGGCAAATGCTGCCTTTTAATTTCGCTCCATACAAATTGCAGTTTGTATGAACAGAGCTACAGACTCGAATCAAAAAACAATACCGAAAGGAAATTTCCGTTAAAAAAAAATGACGATAGAACTACAGCTACTAAGTATGTCGCCAACTCAATTTCTGGGGAACAGACATCTTTCTGGATATCTGGAATGAAGACAAGATAAAAATGTGCACCAATGTTCATAAAACTCAGCAACAGACTCACTTGGCACCGGCAAGCTGAGTTCGGAGGAGCTTTGCGGCAGCAACCATGTTCTTGAGGGCAGGATTCACCTCGGCGTACTTGCGAGTTTTGAGACCACAGTCAGGATTGACCCATAAGATATTGGTCTCAAGCACTGCAAGCATCTTGTTGATCCGGTCAGCAATCTCTTCAGTTGATGGTATTCTGGGGGAGTGAATGTCGTATACACCGGGGCCAATTCCAGCACCATACTTCACTCCCTCACGGAAGACTGACAAGAGCTTCTCGTCGGAACGGGAGTTCTCAATTGTGATCACGTCGGCATCCATATCAATGATGGATTGGATGATGTCATTGAAGTTGGAGTAGCACATGTGAGTGTGAATCTGTCAAGATAATGAAATATTAGGCAAATTGAAGATATTATGAACTGTTGAAGGTAATGAAAATCTCAGTGGTTAATGTAGTAACCTGAGTCGTGTCTTTGACACCACAGTTTGTGATACGGAAAGAATGAACTGCCCAATCCAAGTAGAAAGCTTCCTCAGACTTCCTAAGAGGCAATCCTTCTCTTAAAGCAGCTTCATCGATTTGGATGACATTAATGCCTGCCTTCTCGAGATCCTCAACCTCGTCCTTGATGGCCAGGGCAATTTGATAGCATGTTTCAAACCTAGGAGATGATAATATACACAAGAAGCATTAGGCAAAATGTATGGTATAAAGGGGGGAGGGGGAACTACAGTAGCTTCATTCAGTTTAAGCATGTGGGGAAACATTATCTTCCATTACCTTGGCTGGTCAACTCTAACAAAGGACCAGTTGAGAATTGTGACAGGGCCCGTGAGCATTCCCTTCATCGGGCGGGCTGTCATACTCTGAGCTGCGGTAGACCAGAAGACAGTCATGGCTTTCGGGCGGCTCACATCACCGTAGATGATTGGAGGTTTCACGCAACGGGATCCATATGATTGCACCCAACCATTGACGGTGAATGCAAAACCTGACAACTGCTCCCCAAAGTATTCAACCATATCGTTCCTCTACAGTGAGGATGAAAAAATTCACGTTAGAAGGGGAAAAATGAGAAAAGAGTACTGCATCCTCACACTGCTCTTGATTTCCTCCTCGACAAGGCTCTAAATAACTCACCTCGGGCTCTCCATGAACTAGAACATCAATGTCAAGCTCTTCTTGGAGTTTGACAACCTTACTAATTTCCTCCTTAATAGCCTTCACATATTCATCCTCGGAAATCCTAAAGGAAAGCCAAAAATTGCAAACATTAGAAATAGGATTAAGATATTTTTTTCACTTCAAAGAAAGCTGACATTAATTTTCTGCTCACTTGTTAGCTTTGTATTCACGACGGACCCTCCTGAGCTCAATGGTTTGGGGGAAGGAACCGATGGTGGTGGTTGGAAGGATTGGAAGATTAAGCTTCTTCTGTTGAGCATCAAGTCTTGCACTAACATTTGTAGCACGGCGGTGATCGGAGCCCTTCAAAGCAGCAGCCTGCACAATAAAAAAGGCAATTCATCCTTTAACATAATCCATGCAAACAGACAGTAAAACACCTTATAGATTAGGCAAGAAATGGATGTACATGTACATACCGCTTTCTGAACAGCCTCATTGGTCACCCTTGGGGACGACTTCCTTGAAGCATGAGCTGCAGCGTTAGCGCCAAAGAATGACTGGAAAAATAAATCATAATCTAAGTACCATGGGAAAGAAGTTCAAGAAATAATGCTATGTTGGCAAACTTAATGGCCAAAACACTGTGCATCTGCTTAGATACTAGACAAGTCAAGTAGCCTTGAAATCACTTTACTGGGAAATAGTGTTTTCCTCCTAACATGGCATTGAACAATTCCCAATCATCAGCTGAGAAAGGTATAGGATTTTAAGCACATTAGTTTAGTTATTAATGTGAAATTTTGGCCAATGTGTTGCTAACAGATTAAGTAAAGTTCTACCAAGACAAACCATCTTTCAGGTTCTTGTAGCCAGCCAATAAGGCTATTGAAGATTATAGAAAATGCAAGCGAGGAGGTTATAATTGACAAACCCCAACCCAAAAGGTTAGATATTGAAGATTATAGAAAATGCAAGCGAGGAGGTTATAATTGACAAACCCCAACCCAAAAGGTTAGATATGAAGGCCTAAAAACCTAGCTTACACCTTGAAGAGATAAATTTCATCAGAATCAAGAACATACCTCGTCCTTTGCACCAGCCAAAGCCTTTGCCAATGCATTGACTTCAACAATCTTTTGAGCAGCGAAAGCTAGCCATGATTTGATTTCATTGTCCAACTTGGTTTCATTGACAAGGTCCACAGCAGTGTGAAGAAGTGAGCAGGAGGTGGAGACAACAAGCTTATCTGCATTTTTTTTTTTTTTTCGGCAGGAAAAGAAATCAGTGAAAAACCACACAAGAATAATAACACCATATGAAGCACCATGTACCAACATGGTAATACAAACATGAGCAGAAGACTAGCGCACCTTTACCCACAAGGGTAGCCAGTTCCTCCAATGTACTAACTGAGGCAGCAAGATCATTAGCCCAAATGTTCCTTCCATCAACTACTCCAGCAAAAAGGAACTTCCCCTTGGGGAAATCACCCTTAATCAAACCAAGTGTCTTATCACCACGAACCAAGTCAAATCCATAGGCAGTGACACCCTTCAAAGAAGTAAGGGTCTTGTATGCCTCAGCAGGGACATCAGCAAAATATGTCTCAACAAGAACATTCAAGCCAGAGAGAGTTGATTCTAGTCCAGCATATGCATTTGAGAAGGCTTGCAATTGGTGTGAGTCAAGATCCCGCACCAGGGTAGGCTCATCAAACTGAATCCAAGTAGCGCCTGCCGCTTTGAGGTCAGAAATAACCTCCCTGAAAAGTTGCACCATTAATATTTGAAAAGAGAACCATTATGCTATGGGAACACTCTGGTATGATGTCTAGATAGAGAGATAGTTCTTTACTTGTAGACGGGAAGGATGTTGTCAAGAAGGGAGAGAAGGGAGAAGGTCTTGTCGACGCCCTTTGCAGGTTTAGAGAGCAACAAGTACGACACAGGGCCAACAAGAACTGGAACAGTGTCTACTCCAAGCTGCAGAAGTAAAGTATATTTCCAATGTCT